CCTTACACACTGTTCTTTCAACCCATCATATTTATTTCCAATGGAGCTAACTATGTCCGGGACCCTTAACATGCAATAAAATAGTTTAAGTCTAGATATTATGCTGTTAAATAACTAAATTCCTTAAACTCAGGCTCTGATTCCACTTTCTGTAACACTCCATACCACACATTGCATGTAACACATACTTCATACGGAAGTAATACATGTTTATATACCACTCAGGTCACTTAGTACAAGAATTTACCATACAGAATACATGTCCCAAAAAAATTTCAAAATACATTTCTTGTACTAATCAACGTTCATCAATCAAAACTATACATCATAGACAAATCTTCATGCAAATATGCATATAGGAAAATATCATATTTTTCCCTTTCCCTTACCGTCCGTACCTCCTGCAATACATATTTAAAATCACAAAACGAGGGTTAGACCAAAAGCTCTAGTGAGTTACCCTATTTATGTCATTGCAGGGTGATGATCACCAAAACTTTGTACAAAGTAACTTTTCCTATATATAACAAATATATGAACAAATAAGAACATAATACCAATACCTTTACTTTTCAAGCCAAACATTTAGCTATTCAGATAACATACCCCAAACCTTTATAGGTTTGAATCAACCAGGTTCCATATAATGTCACTTTTAAACCTTTCCAATTAAACAAGGTTTATTTAAAGTTTTAGGCCAAACCTGTTATTTCCTTCTCCATAACATGTAGACCATGATTTCCAATAATAACCTTGATCTTAAACCTTTAAATCACAAAGAAATAAAGATTCCAGACCATGGTAATTTTAAAGGATATAATAGTGAGAGTTATATCACATAACACACACACAAATGCCACCCTTATATCCAAAGGTACACCTCTCCTTGATATGCCACCCTTATCTCATGGTACACCTCACCTTGATATGCCACCCTTATCACATGGTACACCTCTCCGGATATGTCACCCTTATTTTTTCATCAAAACATTTCACAAAAACAATTCCATATAGAATTAGACCGCTGGAATTATTATCAGTTCAAATTTATCTTTTCAAAATTTCCCATTTATATATGAAATAAATCAAAATGCAAATCCGATCAAATTAGACTTGGCCGGACTTCATCTCCGATCAAGTTTTGGCCGATTTACCAAGTCCGGACAACAAATCGCCCAAGGCTTGTCCGATTCACCATTAATCCGGTCAACTTTGTCCGGATAACAAATCCGGACAACACTTTACATAGCTTGTTCGATTTACCAATCCGGACAACTCATAATTCAAGGTTTTATCCGATTTAAACAAACCGGTTACCTCATAGTCGTATTCCTACTTCTCCGTTAAAGTTATTTGATATAAACTTATTGTTCATAAATCGCTCAACAAATGTCTGGTTTAAGACTAAATTGCTTTAACACTTGTCCGGTTTATGGCTAATCCGGACAACATTCTAGCGGATAACTTTTATATCAAAAGTAAATTTCTTCAATCAATTATACAACTATGAAGAGTTTAAAAGTAGTAATAATCACTCACCTTTTTGAAATCAATCTTCTTGAAATTCCAAATAAGGAAATCCGATCAACACAGACTCTCTTTAAATCGCTCAGTTTATTTCAAAGATGGAAAGAGAAGTAAATGGAGGTCTCACCCTCCTTTTATACTTTCCCTTTAAGGAAAGTTGGCTACTACAACCGACACCACATACATGCCTTCACCCTTAAATCATATAACCACACACACACACACACATATATATATATATATATATACAGTTATGCACACATGCATATACATGCATGCATATCATATATATATATATATATATATCATACAAACATGTGCATCCACAAATACACATAATCTCATTCATGTATCTATATTATGCATATTTTCACATACTAATATGATCAAATATATCAATTTATCATGCTGTCACGTAATCACATATAACAAATAATCACATATTTATTACCTCAGGTGACAACCAAGTTCTGGTTATCACACTTGGAAACAGAGGAAATGGAAGGAGGCTATGAACAAAGAGATAGATGCCATTGTAAAGAATGACATATGGGAATTGGTAAGTCTCCGTCTAGTCATAAGTTCATTGGAGTAAAATGGGTTTATAAAACCAAATTAGATGAAAAAGGTAAAATTAATAGATATAAAGCAAGGTTAGTAGTGAAAGGCTACAAACAAAAACATGGGATTGACTATCAAGAAGTATTTGCTCCTGTGATCAGATTGGAAACAGTTAGATTAGTACTCTTTTTGGTTGCACAAAGTAGTTGGAAAGTACACCAAATGGATGTCAAATCAACTTTCTTAAATGGAAATTTGGAAGAAGATGTATATATGGATCAGCCTGAGGGTTATGTCAAGAAGGGTGAGGAGTATAAGGTTTATTATTTTAAGAAAGCCTTGTATGGATTGAAACAAGCACCATGTGCTTGGTATAGTAGGATTGAAACATACTTCTTGACACATGGCTTCACCAAATGTCCTCAAGAGCATACCCTTTTCACTCAACAATCTGAAGGTATGATTCTTATTATCTTTATATATGTTGATGATTTGGTTTTCACTAGAAATTCATACAATATGATAGAAGAATTTAAGGACAGCATGAAAGCATAATTTGACATGATAGACTTAGGGTTACTTTACTACTTTTTGGGAATTGAAGTCAGGAAAAGTGAAGAAGGGATCAAAATCAGTCAACATAGGTATGCACAAGACTTGATTAACAAGTTCAATATGGGATATTCTAATCCTTCCATTACACATATGGAATTTGGGATTAAGCTCTCTAAAACAGCAATGAAGAAGGAATAGATGGCTGTTTATACAGGAGTTTGGTTGGCAGCCTTATGTATCTGACTGCCACCAGGCCTGATTTAACTTTCTCAGTCAATATACTGAGCAGGTTCATGGATTCCACAAGAATCAGCCTTTGGGAAGCTGGGAAACGAATCTTGAAATATATATCAGGGGCATTCTGGATCATGGAATTGTGTATTCTAAGACAAACAACTTTAAACTCATGGGATGTAGTGATAGTGACTATGGAGGAAATTTTGATGATAGACGAAGCACAGGAGGATATATGTTCAACATGGGATCTGGTGCAATATCATGGCATTCTAAGAAGCAAAGTGTTGTAGCTTTATCCTCTACTAAAGCAGAATATATGGCACTTTCCACAAACAGGGTGTCAGGCTCTTTGGTTAAGAGATATATAACATGAGTTAAGTCACTCTCAATCTGGTCCTATTACTATTTTTTGTGATAACAGGTATGCTATTGCTCTTTTAAAGAATCATGTGTTTCATGATAAAAACAAACACATCAGGATCAAGTTTCACTTCATCATGGAATTGATCACAAATGAAGAAGTAAAAGTTGAGTTTTGTGCCTCTAAAGACCAACTGGTAGATTGTTTCACTAAGGCTTTGCAGCATGGAAATTTCAAAGATATGAGGGATCGTCTAAAGGTTCTACCTGGTCTAGCTTAAGGGGGTATGTTGAAACTAAGCTAGACCGTTAGTGATAGTTAATATCATTGGTATCTGTTAGGAAGGGACATGACAGTTAGTTAACTATCATGTCTGTCTAGAATGATTGTGTCGTTAGGATTTGAAGGGTTATGTCCCTTCCTTGTATATATAATTGTGTCTATAACAAACTATCCATGGTTGGTTCGAATGAATAACTACTTTATATACTCTAATTTGTTCCAACATTCAGCCTATAAATTTATCTTCTCAAGTTAGCTAGTTTTGGAACTCTGATCTCGAAGTCTCAAAAATGAAGAAAATCGATGATTCAAGTTATTGTTTCTGTTTGAGCCATTATTCACCTTCTCTTGTAACAAGCAGTCATTTCTTTACTTTCTCCCTTAAACGATCAACTTTTCTTCATTTTATTCTTAAATATACAACCTTTTCTTCATTTTCCCCCTTAAAAAAGCCTTTTTCTTCACTTCCTCCATAAATAAGCTTTCTTCTTTCTGGTTTCGTGTGTTTTTTTATAGTTTTGTGAGAGATAGAAAGACAGTTTCTCTTTTCTTTTTTGTGCCTTTGTGGGAACTTTTTCGTTTATGGTATTTGGGGTGTGAGAAAGAGAGCCTCTTTTTTCTCGTTTGTATTTCTTTTCAATGTTTGGTTTTATGGAAGAGAAATGGATAATGACTGATTTTGTCGTTTTTTTTATTTCTGGCTTTACCGAAGGTGTGAAAAGAACAAGTTGGTGAGGTGAGGTGTGTTGGTGTGGTCTTAGGTCGTCGGAGCCCCAAGGGGAAGGAGGGAAGGGTTGCGCGGGAAAGTGTCTTACCAGAAAGTGGTTGTACACATTTCTTCATTAAAAATAATAAAAGGAGAAATGATAGAAAAGTCCTTTTGAGTTAACTTAACGTACCTTCTTAACAGAGTTGGTCTGGTCTTAGGGACGAAAAACAAAAGAAATTGAAAACCATAAGGACGTAAAAAACAGTTTTTAAGATCAGGGACGAAAATCGTCATAAATTACAAAACACAAGGAACGAAAATCGTAGTTTACTCTTAATTTTATTACGGTGTGGTTGTGGTCTTCTTTAGGGCTTTATAATTCAATGGTGTTAACTGATCAATAAGTTTGTACTTGCATATTTATCATGGTTGATCGTCCTTTTCCTGTGTTTGCTACAATTGCTTCCACATAATATTGTAACGTTATGTCCCAATGTTATCCAATTTTTATAGGTGTTGCATTACAAATGGTGAACGACCATCCAAAACTTGCTATAAATGGGAGTATACTCAGGCTATTGGCTCGAAGACCTTCTGCATTTCTTGTTATGAAACCTAATTTTATGGGTAGAATCACAGTTTTCAGTAAGAATCTCTACTCCATTTACTTCTATTGTATTTCTATTGGCTCGAAGACCTTCTGCATTAAGTCCTAACTCATTAATTGACATGGTCTTCTATTATAACTCCCATTATACATTACTTAAAAGAATACAAACTCATTAATTGACATGGTCTTCTCCCATTATACATTACTTAAAAGAATACAAACTCAATTTCCTCATTACAGTGTTCCATCAACCTATTTTCAAAGGACAAAAATGAATAAAAGCATCATTTGTACTTTTTATATCTTTTCATTCACAAAAATAATATATAGTTGTATTTTTATAAATTATATGAATTATTGTTTTTGTCGAATTGTGTAACATTAATCTCAAAATAAGAGTTGGACATGGATAATACCCTTTTTGGTGTATTGTGAATAAAAAGTACTAATTGATTCGATTCAAATTGGTGCAAAAGGTAAATACTCGGATAAAAATCACTTGTCTCATTCATATTCCACCAACGAAATTAAGACGTATCAGATTTTCATTTATTTTAGATTTATTTAATTCATGTTACTTTCTCTCTCTGTTTACGTATATTCATATGAATGAAACATTTGATTTTGAAATTGATATTTTTATCCTAAATACTCTACTTGTTTAATTTTTCTTTAAACTTTAGTTGTGCCAGTTATAGCAATTTTCTTTTTAGTCAAGTGTTTACTTTATTATTCACCACCTGAAATTGATAACTTGAGTGCAGTATGCACATCTTTTTTTCTTTTCTTTTCATTTTGTATTTCTACAATAAAATCAACGTCATATGTAAACGATGTTCTAATACATTGTTTTATAATTAATTACTTAAATTTATAGGATTAAATAATTATGTATCATATTTAAAGTGCTATAAAAGAATGTTATGACGTAACTCGCAATCTTAATAAGTCCATATTGATATCGCCATAAGGGCTGTAGCCAATTATTAAGTTGGTGCAGAAAAATATAATATAATCTCATAGTCAACAAGCTTTCTTTATCAGATGTATGAAGCTGCGTGGTATTATATATATATATATATATATATATATATATATATATATATGGGTAACTAAACCCATAAGGATATTCTATCACAAATATCTAATATAATCGTTTTTGGTTTCTGATTAGTTTTGGCACTTTGTCATCTGACGATTGAACTTACTAGTGAGAGAGGCAAGACCTTGGAATTACTAAGAGCCATTTTCATAGAGATTATGAAATTGCCCAAGGCTGAAAGGGATGACATAATAAGAGGACCACCTGATGAAAAAGATGCGAAGCAAAAATACTCTTCCCGACTACTATTTCTTGCTGCAGAAAACGGTAACATTGAATTTGTGGTAGAGGTCATTAGGCAATACCCATATCTGGCTCTGGAGGTAGATGACAATAACCACAGTATATTTCATGTTGCTGTCTTACATCATCATTTGCGTATCTTCAAACTATTACATAAGATGAAGCATATTAAGGATTCAGTTATTACTCTTGAAGACAAAAATGGCAACAATATGTTACATTTAATTGGGGAGAATGTAGAAGGAATGGGTCCACTGTTGAATGAAGAACTCCTTTGGTTTCAGGTACATCGTTATTTGGCTACCCGCACAAATTTATCTGCCTATCTTTATATCTTCTTTCCTTTCTTGCTGTCATTTAAAATTATACTATGAAAACATATTGCCTAGCAATAATTTCAATAACTTGTGCGTATTTTTCTTCAAAAAAAAGCTTAACATTCAATTTTTATATTCTAAAATCCAACTCAAAGATACATTTCTGAAGTTTACAAGACAACAAAAAAAGAAAGAAAACACTGAGGTTACTGTTTAGCAGTTGGTTAGAGTACTTTTTCTCGCCATACCAGAAATTAGTTTATGACTAAGGTCTAAGGTGCCGTTTATCAACGTTAATCGGGTAAATGCTTATCGTGTAAGAGTCACCGCCATGAATTACCTATTATTAACCATCACAATGGCATAATACGGTTAATTGTTGGTGAGCGTTGTTCAAAGTAAGCTAGACTAAGTAATCGTTTAGTTGCTTGTTTGGGTAGTTATGTAAAGTTAGTTATTTACGGTTAAGTTAGTTTCTCCAACTGGTACCATGAAGGGTTACAACAGTTTGGTTTAGGCTATATACATGTGTGTGTCTGTGTAGTCTATGTACGATGATGTTGTGTTAAACGAATAAAGTTTAGACATGTTTAGTAATTACATTACCTTTTCTCTTCTTCATATCCAACATAGTGGTATAAGAACCAGATCATCCAATATCTACAACAATCTTGCATCCAGAACTACCTAAATTAAATGGAAAGGATTATTACCATTGGAGCATACAAATAGAAGGTGGTTTATGAGTCACAAGATTTGTGGGATATTGTGGAAGATGGGTTTGATGAACCAGGAGATATAGATGAACTCACAGTAGAACAAAGAATGAAATTAAAGAATTAAAGAAAAGGGACAGAAAAGCACTCTTCTTTATCTATTAGGCCATGGATGAAGTAATATTTGGAAGGATATATGCATCAATATCATTGAAGGAGGCTTGGGACACGCTATATAGAACCTATGGTGTGGAAGAAAAGGTGAAGGTAGTGCGACTACAAACCTTGAGATGTGAATTCGACAATATCAAGATGAAAGAATTTGAATTTGTCGAAGATTACTACAATGGAGTCATCCTTCTGTTAAACCAATTAACGTTAAATGGTAAGAGTATTGAATATAGAAGAGTGGTTGAAAAGATAGTATGGAGTCTAACCAGGAAATTCGAATATATAGTGGTTGTCATAGAAGAATAAAAAGATCTCTCAATTCTATCTTTTAGAAAGCCTGTTAGGGAGTTTGCAGTCACATGAATTGCATATTAGACAATTTGATTCTTCCTCTTGTGAACAAGCCTTTTGATTGGCATCAACAAGTCAGGGCACCTCATATGGTAAAACCAAAGATTCCGAATACAACAAGAAAGAACAAACTGAAAAATACAAAGGCCAAGAACTAGGAAGAGCATTCTCGTAAATACAATGATATTACTACCATAGATTTGGACATACAACCAAGTTTTGCAAGAAAAGACTCGCAAATGAAAAGGAGGGATTCAAATTTTATTCACAAAGAAGATGATGATCAAGGAGAAACGATGTTTATGATGCTTAGTACACAAGAAGTTGTTATTGAAGATACTTGGTACATGGATAGTGGCTGTAGCAACCACATGACGGGAAAAAAAAAGACTTGTTTGTGAAACTTGATAGCTCCGTACGAAAGGAGGCTTGTACCGGAAATGATAAGAAGTTACAAGTACATGGGAATGGAGAGATATTGGTTAAGACTAAGCATGGTGAAAAGAAAAGACCGAATATGTATTTTTTTCCAAAGTTAAAACATAACCTTCTAAGTGTAAGGCGACTCTTATTGAAGAGTTGTGACATACACTTTAAGAATGGAATTTACGAGATTAGACATCTAACTAAGAATTTACTTGGCAGGATTGGTATGATGTCAAACAAGATGTTACGGTTGAAATTTCAAGAGGACCCTTTCTTCTCTTTTAACCTATCTACACAACAATCATGCCTCTTATGGCATCACCGCTTTGGGCATGCAAATTTTGGCTACTTATCCTATATGTGCAAATATAAGCTTGTACGAGGTATGCTAATTATTAACAAGGCAAAATAAATATGTGAGGGGTACATGTTAGGAAAGAAATCAAGGGAACCTCTCACATGACAAGAGTTCGAGAGCAAGAAAACCACTTGAGTTAGTACATATGGACGTTTGTGGCCTTACGATAACTCCTTCAATTGGAAGTAACAGGTACATTCTCACATTTATTGATGACTTTAGCAGAAAACTTTGGATATACTTCCTACAAGAAAATTCAGAAGTTTTTAGTTTTATCAAAACATTTAAATCTCTTGTTGGTAAACAAAGTGAGCATCAAACTAAAACCCTTAGATCAGACAGTGGGGGGGAGTATAATGCACTTTATTCTCAAGATTTTCTAAAAGAAAATGGTATCCAACACCAACTCATAACTACTCGTTACACACCCCAACAAAATAGGGTGATGGAGAAAAATAATAGGACTATAATTGAAATGACAAGGAGCATGTTGAGAAACAAGAAACTATCAAACGAATTTTGGGCCGAAGTTGTGGCTTGTGCATGTTACCTGCTGAAAAATAGGACCTCAACAAAGAGCCTTTCAAATATGACACCCACCCCATGAGGCATGGTACAAATATAAACAAAGTGTCACTCATCTCAGAGTAATTAGGTGTATTGCATACTATCATATTCCAGTACAACAAAGAGAAAAACTTGATAACAAATCTGAGAAAGCAATTTTTATGGGATATAGCGAAGCTCAAAGGTGTATAAGCTTTACAATCCACTCACTAGAAAAGTTATAATAAGTAGGAACTTTTCTTTTGATTAGGGAAAAGCATGGGAAGATTGTATGAATCATGAAAATGGGACTACCCAAATTTTTGATGATAACACTGCTCATAATTCGAATCAAGAAGATTTGCTCTCATCAAATTCTGAAGTAGCTCTCCATCTACTCTAGTCAACGATCCTATAACATCTGGTGTAAGTTTAGTCCCATCTACTAATGAGTCACCAGTAAAAGATACTCGAACCTTGTGAGACCTCTATAGCAACACCCAACGTCTTGATTTCGATGCTATGGTAGATTTTGCAAAATTTGCTGACACAGATCCACTGTGTTTTGAGGAAGCCTATTAAAAGAAAAATTGGAAACAAGAAATGGATGAAGAAATTAAATCCATCACCAAGAATGATGATCCTCCTAGTAATGTGAAGCCTATAGGAGTTAAATGGTTTTATAAGACAAAACTAAACGAAAGAAGTGAGGTAGATAAGTATAAATCAAGATTGGTTGTAAAGCGATACAAAAAAAGATTTGGTATCGATTATAACAAAGCTTTTGCTCCTTTCATTCGTTTAGAAACCATTTGTCTTGTCCTAGCTATGGCTGAACAAAATGGATGTTAAGTCTGCTTTTTGAAATGGTTTTCTAGATAAGGAGGTTTATATTGATCAACCTATAGGATATATAAAAGAAGGGAAGAGCACAAAGTGTGCCGTTTGAAGAAAGCCCTCTATGGGTTGAAGCAAGCATCCGGTGCTTGGTATAGGAGGATTGATGGATACTTCACCATACATGGGTTTAAGAAATGCATGTGTGAACACACCCTTTACGTCAAGGATAATGAAGGTAACATCTTAATCGTATGCCTTTATGTTGATGATCTAGTTTTTACAGAAGGATCTTGAAAATTGATTGAAGATTTTAAGGATTCTATGAAGCATGAATTTGAAATAAGTGATTTGGGGATCCTACATTATTTTATGGGCTTAAAAATCAATCAAAAATAGCATATGATTTCAATCTACTAGCAGAAATATGCAAAAGAATTAATTATTAAATTTAACATGGACAATGCCATACCTTCAACCATGTCTATGGAGTTTGGATTGAAACTCTCCAAGGATTCTTCAGAAAAATAAGTTGATCCTAGTATCTCTTGGAGTCTTGTTGGCAGTCTCATGTACTTGACTGTAACTCGACCATATATTATGTTCTCCATGAGTCTTATCAGCCGTTTCATGGAGTCCATAAAGTCAAGCCATTAGAAGCAGGAAAAAAAATCTTATGATTTATAAAAGGATCGGTTAGACATGGCATCACTTACACAAAGATTGATGACTTTAGACTCAAAGGTTATAATGACAACGACTTTAGGAGGAATCCGGATGACAGTAGAAGCACTACGAGATATGTTTTTAACATTGGGTCAGATGCTATATCGTGGCAATAAAAAAAAACAGAGTGTCGTGGCTCCAACTTTTACCGAAGCAGAATACACGTCCTTATCTATTGCAGGGTGTCAAGCTCTTTGGGTAAGGGTTGTTCTAACAGAATTAAAGTGTCCTCAAGTAGAACCTACAAGGATCTATTACGACAACAAATTAGCCACAACTTTAACCAAGAATTCTGTGTTTCATGGCAAAAGTAAACACATTAGGATCAAGTATCATTTCATTCGAGAATTCGTAGGTAATGTAGAGATTGAAGTGGAGTTTTCCAGCACTAAAGACCAAGTGAAAGATTCGTTTACGAAGGCTTTATAAGTTGGTTGTTTTAATCGTCTAAGAAAGGAATGGGAATGTCTCCCGTCTAGCATAAGGGGGAATGTTGAAGTTAAGCTAGAGTAAGTAATTCTTTAGTTGCTTGTTTGGGTAGTTATGTAAATTTAGTTATATACGGTTAAACCGATACCATGAAAGGTCACAAAGGTTTGGCTTAGGTTGTATATATATGTGTGTCTATATAGTCTATGTACGATGATGTTGTGTTAAACAAATAAAGATTATAAGTGTTTAGTAATTACACTACCTTTTCTCTTCTTCATATCTAATAAGCGTCTCTTACCCACTAAGCATTAATCAGATAAGTGTAATCACCCTCATTTATCGGATAAGATTTTTGGTCCTTGTCATGCTCACACAGTATCGTAAGGGACTCGTTTAGCGTTTGGTAAATAACCCCTATTTATGAAAATGATGAAATTAGTTGTGTAGTTGAACATTTCCACTCTCTTTGCAGTATTAAATGCTTATTAACATATATTCTCATCCTAACTTATGATAACGATCTTGTCTTTGTTATGCTAGGAAGTAGCTACCATAGTCCCTCAAGGTTTACGAGATAAGAGGAACTTCACTGGTCTAACACCCGCCCAAGTATTCTTCAATAGACACACTGATCTCTTTTTTAAGTTGGAAGCGTGGATAAAAGAAGCAGCCACCCAATTAATGGTGGTTGCAGCACTTGTAGCCACCATGTCGTTTGCAGCAGCATTTACATTTCCAGGTGGATACAAGCAAGATACTGGTATTCCTATCTTCCTCGGAGAAAATCTTTCCCAAATTTTCATAATATTTGATATCTTATCATTTATATCCTCTACTACTTCAATCCTCTTGGTCTTATTTATCCTTGGGTCTAACTATCAATCATATGATTTAATGATTCCATTACCCAAACAGCTCAAAGTATGTCTAGCATCAGTTTTCTTCTCCATAACAACAATCATCATCACTTTTGTTATTAACCTTTGTCTACTTTATCGAACCCATTCTCGTTGGGGGCCAACACTAATCGGTGGTTCTGCTATCATCCCATTCTTAATCTTTCTCAGTATACGATATCATCTTTTATATCTCCTTTATCCGCGTGGTATTAAACTCCGTTGGCAATCGTGTTAGACATTGTCCTTTTCACTACAAATTCCATTTGAATTGTGTACTTTTGTAAGGATATGGTTAAAAGTTGATGATTTAGTTTGTTGTATTTTTCAAGGCATATCAGGTGAAATATAATAACGTTTTAATTTAATTATAGAAGTTCATTTTCGAAAGTATGGTTTTCATAGTAATTTTTAATATATGTAGACTTCAATCTTATATTCTTTTTGATGTTCCTTTAGGTGAAAACAACAAAAAAAATGTCATTGCCAAACACAGTGAAAAAAAAATCCGATAGTAGCCAATAAAAAAGGCAATTAACAGAACTTCTGCTAATAAGCAAAGACCATTGGTAGCACCTGTTAGCTAACGACAGGAAAGACGTGCAAGTTGACGAAAGTCACGTTGGTAATGTTCTAGTAACAAAATTATTTGCACAGTCATTAATTACCAATATAGAGGTCTGAAATGATTTCTCACTACAAGAGAATTCCTTAATTAGTGAAGAAAAAAGTTACTTTTCGTTACTAAAGACCCTTCACTAATTTACATCAGTGACCAAATACAAAGATAGTGACTAATTTGTGACAAAACCTACCTAATCATGCAAACTTTTTGAAAGCGATCTTTGCAGTCTAGTCATATCATGTCCCGTTTGTGAACTAAATGAAGGAAAACAGTTTTAGTGTTCCATGATGATTATCATCCTCAATTTTTAGAGTTATTTGTCACCTTTTATAAACCCTTTTCGACCCTTTTAATATCCATTTGATCCTTTCACCCCTTCCTTGGTGTAAATTTTTCCTTAGGTTAGAAAAGCTGGAAAAATCAGGATTTGTAAGTTAGTCTGCCATTATGGCCATAAATTAGTGTCACCACTACAAACATCGACTTAAAGATCTTGCAGCGATTTTCATCATGAAGATGGTGAAATTTAGTGCTGGCTATGTGAAGATTCAAACTTGAAGTGATCATGAAAGAGGAGGAGACGTGGATAAAGAGATTAAAATAAAGAGAGCAAGAAGATGACCTTTAAGAGGTCCCTTTCCTTCTCAAATCACTTTCAACTTCTCTAACGTCTTCCACCTATATAGAAAGGAGCTTAGATAAACATCTTGAAGCGTGCTTGGAACATTGAAGTATCAGTTGAAATAGTTCTACATTGTATTCTTGTATTTATGTTGGTTAGAGATTAGTTGCAATTTATTTTCAAGTATGTTCACATGTATACCATTGTGACAACAAATGTGGCCACAATGATGACTTTTATCTTAACACAATTTATCTTTGAGTATCTTTTCTTATCTACTATGTCTTTTTGTAAGCCTGAGCTAAACCCCCTTTTGGGTATGGGTGTAATCTGAACCTAAGAGGTGAAATGTAATATTTGGGTGTTACCACTTTTTGCTAACTTTTTAATTTGGTCATTCAAGTTGAAACTTCAACTCAACACAGACAAGCCGATAACTTATAAATGTTAATATTAAATCTTTGACAAGACGATCACTTGTGTTTGTTTTAATATTAACTCAATAGGGACAAGCCAATCACTTGTATGTGTTAATATTAAATTTTTGACCGAGAGATGGACGAATTCGAAATATGGCTTGAGTGATGCAAGGAGGTTTGAGAAAATATTCAATAATCACATAAAGATGCAGGTTGTTGCATAACTTTCACTAAGGTTCAGGATGTAGGTCGAGTTGGTGTGTCGTAGAGATATGGGCATTTCTCCATACTGATAGAAGTTAGATTTTCGACATCTACTTAGTAAAGTTGGCAAACCAAAAGTTAGCAGTTGTGGCCACTTTGTGACAGGACCGCGGCCACATTCTGATATAGTTTCAAAAGAAATAAATCTTGAAGGGTTATTTCCTAACTGGTTTTTCAACCATTTTGTTACTATCATACTATTGGTTCTGGGAAAGTGATGACTCTCACAGAAAGTGTTTGTAAGGGGGGGGGGGATAAATACAAATGCAATAGATTATAAAATTTTAATTCGTTCTTCATATTTTATATGAAAACAAAGAATTGCATATTTCTTGCGGAAGTTAGGAAGGTAAGAAGGGTCTCTTTTAGATCCAAAGAACTAAGAAAGTTCTTTAGAGGACGATGCTCAATTTACTTTAGAAACACTCTCATGGATGTTGTTTGAAAACGGGTGAGTTGCATTAAATGACAAGGGTGACATTTTATAACCATCTTTGCATTAAATGCTTATTGTCCAACTTTAATGTGTGTCCTTTTCTGTTTGGTTGATCCATTCATCTTAGTACACTTTATTTCAACCTTTGAGCTTGATGTAGTTTGTTAACTTACTTCGTCCTTAAATATGCCGAGAGAACAACAAAATAAAAAAAATTACTAGTACAATGGTGCTTTTGTACTCACTTAGCCTGACATGTTGTACATGTTCTCATATCAAAGAAGGAAGTAAGAGAGTTGGTGAGCCAAACTTGCTGATTCAAAATTCGACTTTCCAGTAGTAGTATTTATCAGACTACTAGTTGATTTTATCTTGTATTGATCTTATTTTTGGCTACATGACAAACCAATCTGCTTTGGTAATGATCTTGACCTTACTTCAATTAGTTTTTAATTTTGTTCAAGGCATGCTGCTCTGGGATCAATACAAATAGACACAAGACTTTTACAAGGAAAAATCCTATATTTTTCTATATACAAAATATAAGCAATATATCGAATTTACCAACTATTGAATCTTGTGAAGGTGCTACATCTGATACAGATTATAAGTTGCTAAACTGAAACCTTTATTTGATAGAAGAATCCATCAAATTAGGACTGGATGAATGTCTTGGTCAAATCCAACTGTATAGACACATATTCACGGGTGATATATTCAAAACTTCAAGACAATAAGATCGTATGACAATTGATGGGATATTATTCGATGTAATAAAGTATATCAGATATATTTCTTTGTAATAGAAGGTAAACAAGAACATTTTCCTTTCTAAGTGTGTGATCGGATGTTTATGAGCATTATTACCAAATCCATATATAAGCGAAAATTCACGATTAGAACTCAGAAATTCAGTGATTCATTTTTGGATTCTTTTTGTATTTTTATTCTTTTTGTTCTTTTCTTTTCTAAGGCTTTCTCTTCTTTTCATTTTATTTCCTTTCATCCTTTTTTTTTATCGGATGACAAAACAACATAATAAGTAAATACACTAATGACAGAATAAAGCTAGATGAAATTAAGATACTTAAGAAAAATGTAAAACTTTCATTCAGAAATAAATTGATACTAGTTTGTTGAAAGTTTATATCAGATACATTTATCTATTCCTCGGAAACCAAATCTTCATTTTCACATCTTCAATGCCTCTGCCAGGTTGATCCATTTGATCCACTCGATTATGAAGAAGTGACTTTATTCCATCTGCAAATGTCTTTCCATATTCATCCATTAGAGCATTTTGGAGAAGAGCATGTAGATGTCAGGTTTCAGCTACTCCCAGTTCTGATGATCTTTGGAATCTTAGTTCCGCAAATAGATCAATATTTGGTGAATACACACAATCATTGTTTTATCTAATTGAAGGGGATTAAAATGCATAAATATTATGTTCATAATTTAATATTGTGGAAAAATGTAAATGATTCTGGAATCATATTATAAGTTATGTATATTCTAATAGATGTTTTGGTCTATGTAAAACAAGATTAGTATGAAACCAATTTTATGAAATCATTTTTGTCCAAAACCAATGCAAACTTTTCATTTGCATATATTATTTTCTTTTCTTCTATTTGAATCACACTAAATCGTTTTCCAGCTCCAGCAAGCTATTTTTGAACATATGTGTGCCCACATGAGTCATCGTGAGTAGTGTCTTATAAAGGTCTTCAATACCTTGTAATTATTTTGTGACATCACTAGTCCTAAATAATCACTTAACTAAAAACCATTAAGGGGCCGTTTATCGAGTGCTTACCTGATAAACTTGGCAATGACTGAGAATGTTAACCGTTATGAGCGGTAAGAGTGATGAAAAGGACTAAGAGGTCTTTTACCAAACGCTTACCCGAATAAGCGCTTATCAGTAAAATTCAACACTATTAGAGATCTTAGTCCACCAAAACGGTATTTTAAACAACAATTTACCTGGTATGGCCTAACCATGGTAAGAGTCGTAAATCTCACTTATTGAGCAAGACTCTCAGTCCTTACCTTTGCTCTTATAGGGTAAGATTCTTGGTCTTTATCATATTCATTCGGTAAGGTAATATGACTTGGTAATCGCTTACCAACGCAAGTGTTTGGTAAACGGCTCTTAACTGATACAAAGAAAATATTATCATGAGCTTGATTAGAAATATTGTTGAAATATCTATCGACGTACCAATCCTGACTTATTCGTGTCTATTTTGTCAGGTTTATGTAGATAAGGGTTATTATTGACAAGGGGATTGAAGCTGGAGGAGTGAAGGGTTGCGCCCCACATTTGCTGAAACATGAAGGATAACAGAGTATATTTGGTTAAACTTTAGGGACTGTAATAGAAATGTTGATGAATATATATGTTGTAGTTTTTCTTATCTTAAGAAAAATTACTTCATTTTCTTAAAATCCATTAGATCGTTCTCAAAAGGATTTTGGGTTTCCTCTCTCTAGATTGAGTTGTATTGTCTTGTAATATGGTATAGATTCTTTATAGGCTACATTGTATCTATATTAGGTGTGATGTATTTGTATTTGATTTGTATTAGTTGTAGAGAGGTCTATTTGGTTATGAATTTTAAGATGGTATCATAGCCCAAGAGGGCCCAACACCTTAAACAAAAACTAGAACATACAAAATAGGTCCACTTGACTCTTTAACATTTAACCGTAGTTAAATCAGAAGAGCATAGATTAATATCATAAGAATCCAGGACCAAATCCTGAACAAAAGAAATATAACTATTTTTTTAATAAAGGAACAAAATTAATCGGAACAAAGATTTGACATATAACAAACCAGACACAAATTAGAACCTCGGATGAAGACATATACAAATTTGCTCTCCTCAAAGGTATTTTATACAGATTTGAGAATGAATAAGCAAAAGGAACTATTATAGACTGAAAAAAGTTAGATGCGATAAGATCAAACAAACTCAACAAAATAACACTCCTTTCATTAAAAAGGCAGTTGTAGGGACAGGGAATCGAGAGCTAACAGATCTCGTGATCAATGAAATTATTATATTGTCTTCCGCTGAACTTTAAAGGATCACTGTAAGTTTTTCTATTGGATTATTCTTCGTTAAGCAAGTTATTGTGCCCTTGTTTCTATGTTAGTCATATCTGGTTATATTGGTTTAAATATGTTGTGTTCTCTTTATTTTCTTTGTGGTAACTGAACAGTGAGCTTGACCTAGCACCTTAAGAGTGTTTTAGAAATCTTGCTATAATCTATTCATATTTTATTACCTAGTGTGCTTGCGTGTTTCTTATTGTCTATAGCTTCCAAAAATGTTGACCTATGGGTTTAAGGGAATCCAAAGTTGCTACACTTGAATTTGGAGATCCCTTGTATCTCCTTTCCAGTGATACCATTGGAGCTCTCCTTTTGAATTTTAAGCTGAGTGGTACTGAAAATTAAAGGGTATGGGCATGTTCCATAACCTTGGCTATGGAAACTAAAAACAAGATTGGATTCATTGATGGATCTTGTCCTCATCCAAAAGATGACTTGTATTCGGTAGTTCTTTCCTGGATATTAGGATCTATGACTGAGGATCTCTTTTTAGGAAAAGTTTTCTCTAAAGATTCATCCAAAGTGTGGGAATAATTGAAATAAACTTATGATAAAGTGGACGTATAAGTTACATCTAATTTTCATCAGAAAATAAGTTCTCTAAGTCAAAATGGAACATCAGTTTATGAATATTATCATAAACTCAATTCGTTATGAAAACAGTTTGATGCTTTTGTTAAACTCCCTCCATGCACATGCAATGTTTCTCAAGATTTTTTTGAACACAATCAACTTATCAAACTTATGCAATTTTTGATGGGGCTTGATGATGTCTATCAACCCATTAGGAGCAATATTCTTACTAGGGACCTTCTTCCCTCTATCAAAACTGCTTTGTCTCTCGTATCTAGAGAGGAATCTCACCCGGGGGGGGGGGGGGGGGGGAACACCCCTCTATCTCACACTAAGACACAACACTATGCTTTTTTAAGAAAAGCCACCGATGATAAAAAGAGGTTTGGCAAACCCTTTTATTTTTATGTGTAAAAATTGTAGCATTGTCGGACATACCATTGAAAGATATTTTAAACTCAATGGCTTCCCACAGGACTTTCAAAGTAGACCCAGACCACAAAGTCAAAATTTTAGACAATTAGCCAGCAATGTTTGTGTTTGTAAAGCTCATTTTCCTAAATAACCTGTGTCCACTTCATCTTTTCCATTTTTTGGAAAACAGGTTACAAAAATTCTTAGCCTAATATATCAAAAACACACTTCAGATGGGGCTACTGCCAATATGGAAGGTACTACCAACCCTCCCCTTCGACCTGGTTGCATTATTGATTCTGGTGGAAATCAACACATGACATCAAACACCCTTAATCTTGAAAATATGATTGATGTGTCTGATTTAAATCTTAGGTTGAGTCACCCAAATTGAACAAAGGCAAGGATAAACCAAATTGAAAATTTTAAACTTTCAAACAATGTAATTCTTTTTGATGTGTTGGTAGTACCAGATTTCAGTGTCAACTTTGTCTGTTCATAAACTAGCTAGGGATAATATAGTCATTATAGGTTTTAATGTTATGTTCAGGATCTCTTCGAAAGAGTGTTGTGGGGACCTATAGTCAGGAAGGTGGACTATATTTCTTTGATGAAAAATTTAATAGTGAGTCCTCTTCTCCCTCCTATATTTTTACTTTTGTGTCGGCTCAACTATGGCATGGTCGACTTGGGCACCCAGCCAACCAAGCGATAAATGTCCTAAAGAACCAACTCAAAATTGGAAATGAAGTTAGTAACCCTTGTGAGATCTTCCAAAAGGAAAAACAAAGTCGAGATAAATTCAATTTAAGTCTTCACAAGTCCAAATGTCTTGGTGAACTAGTTCATTTGGATGTTTGGGGTCCTTACCATGTTCAAAGTAGGGAAGGTTATAAATATTTCTTATTATTGTTGATAATTTCACTTGTGCTATATGAGTTTATCTTTTGCAAGGAAAGCATGAGGTGGGTGATTATGTTGTGAGTTTTTTTCAATTTGCTTGGTAGCCAATTTGGAAAATTTGTCAAAACCATTAGTAGTGATAATGGTTCTGAATTTACAAACTTAAAAGTAAGTAAATTTTTTTAAATCAAGAGGAATCATTCATCAAACATCTTGTGTCTATACTACCTAACAAAATGCAGTTATGGAACGAAAGCATTGTCATTTGCTTAATATAGCTAGAGCTCTTTTGTTAAGGGAGGCATTCCTTCAAATATGTGGAGTGAGTGTACTCTCATAGCTACATATCTTATTAATAGGACACCTTCCTCTGTTGCTAAAAGGTAAGTGCCCATATGAGATTGTTTACGATTTTCAACCTGTCCTTACTCATTTAAGAAGTTTTAGTTGCCTATGTTTTGCTGTTAAACCACACGTCATAGATAAATTTGGTTCTAGATCTTAAAAAAACTACTAGAAAAAAGAGTATCAGTGACAAAAAAAATCCCTCGTAGATCAGCAACAGTTCAGCGTGGGATTGGCCAAAAACCAGTTCCCTCGCTGATTAACAAGGGAACTATTTTTTGGCCAATCCCTCGCTGATCTACAAGGGATCTACGAAGGAATGGTTTTTGGCCAAAAACCAGTTCCTCGCTGATCCGTCGCTGATCTGTCGCTGATCTGTGAGGGAACTCATTTTTTTCCCATTCCCTCAGCGACGGATCTGCATTAAATTGGCCAAAAACAAGTTCCCTCGTAGATCCATCGCTGATCTGCAAGGGAACTGGTTTTTCGTCATTCCCTCGTAGATCCGTCGCAGATTAGCGACGGGTCAGAGAGGAAATTGGTTTTTGGTCAATCCCTCGCTGATTCATCGCTGATCTGCGAGGGATCTGGCCAAAAACCAATTCCCTCGCTGATCCCTCGCTGATCAACGATGGATTAGCGAGGACATGTGATATCCCTCGCAGATTCGTCGCTGATCAGCGAGGGATCTATAATGGATTATCCTATTTTTTTATTTTCTCATTTTCAATGTGTCATATGTACACATATTTATGTGAATATTTCATATGTATATGTATTATATATATATATTTCATATATATATATATATATATATATATATATCTGTGTGTGTGTTTTGGCTTCTAACCGTGATAATTAGATCTATCTTTATATTGTTGAAAATACATGTATCAGATGATGTATATACATATATATATATATATATTTGAAGGTGTGTGTTATATGTACACATGTGTATGTATTATATAGATACCCGTCGGCCCGTGTTATATACATATGTGTACACGATGTGTATATATGTGTGCTGGTTGCTAACCACGATTAGATCTATGTATATATTGTTGAAGATACATGTATGGATGATATATATATTTTGTATATATGTTTAAATGTATGTGTATATGCGAATGTCTAAATAATGTGTGTTATATGTACACATGTGGATGCATCATGTGTATGTGTTATATGTATTTATACCTGTTGGCCCTGTTATATACATTTGTATACAAGATGTGTATATATGTGTGCTGGTTGCTAATCATAATTGGATCTATGTATATATTGTTGAAGCTAGATACATGTATCGGATGATGTATATATGTTGTACATATGTTTATAAATGTATGTGTATATGTGAATGTATAGATAATATGTGTGTGTCGTTTGGGTTTTATTCGATTTTATTGGGTCTTAAATGGTTTCATTGGGCTTTATTCGGTAATCAATTAATTTTTGTAATATACTAATAAATAATAAATTTTTGATAATTTAATAATCAATAATTAATTAAATCTATAGTTATCAATTAAAAATTAATTTAATTAATATGAGTTTAAAAAATTAATTTATAGTATACCTATTAGCGACAGAATTTCCCTCGGAAATCCGTTGCTGACTTTTCAACATAAAAACCTAGGTCTGGCCGCTTTTATTCAGTTTATGATCGAGAGAGGAGATCGACCAACAGAGACAACGAGAGAGATATCAAGCCGGAGAGACACTGTCGCCAACCACCGTCACAGTCGCCAACCACTGTCACAGTCACCACCACCTCACCGTCGCCGACCACCATCACCGACACCACCACCTCACCGTTGATGTCACTGTCACCACCGCCTCGCCAACCACCGTCACTATCACCACCACCTCACCGTCGCCGACCACCATCTTAAGGGATATAAATTCTTCTTTTAACACAAATTTGATTTGTTGATTTCTTGAACACCACATTTGATTTACTGATTTGATGATTTTCTTGAACACCACATTTGACCATTTCAATTTGATAAGGTTAGGGATGAATTTTATTTAAATTGGTATAAGGAATGAGTTGGATTTGCCCATTCAAGTAGTCAAACCGTTACACTTAGAGTTTTAAAGTCATACAAAACTCCTCTAAACCAACGGTTTGACTTTTAAGTAGTCAAACCTCTCTACACCACCTTTATGTTGATTATGTCAACTAAATATTTCTTTCTTTGTTGTAGTTATTGAATATATCGACAAATAGAGGATGAATGTATAGAAAAAATGATGATTGGGTGGCTCTTAGCCTGACCTATGTCAGATAGTTGGAAGGTTTTTTGGGATTGCCTGTGCCAATGAAGACTATATTGAAAGGGGAACTACAGGTAGTGGGATAGTGTTCCAAATCAGATGTCCTTGCTTCAATTGTCGAAACAAATCCTATAGAGAAATGGAAAACATGAAACTACACTTTATGTTATATGGTTTCATGTCTGATTATACCGTTTTGTGGGGACGTGGTAAAACCTATTGCCATGTATCTCATCAAGACGTGGGTTAATCATCTAATCCTATAGTTGATCATAATGAAGGCTATTTTCCAAATGGTGAACAATCACATGGTACATGATGCCATGACATTGGAAGAGCAAACACCTAATCCTTCTGCCCAGGGATTTTATAACATGTTACAAGTTGTTGATGAGCCTTTATAGGATAGGTGTCAAACTTCTTCAAAATTAGGAGTTGTGACGAGTTTGTTGCATTGGAAGGCGGAATGTAATGTACCTGAGATGATATATAATAAAGCTATTTTTGTTTTTAAGCGGATGCTACTCGAGGGTGATAAATTACCCTGTAACTTCTATGAGATGAAGAAGATTTTGAAAAATTTTGCTCCACCAAAACAAAAGATCGAAGCTTGCGAAAACCATTGCATGCTATTTTACAAGCATGATTATGGATTGACCCATTGTCGAACTATGCAATGCAAGTTGTTACTAGACCAGTGAATGAAAGAAGGCCCCTAACTTGGTGTTGACGTACTTACCAATTGTTTCAAGACTCCAAAGATTGTATATGTCTCCAAAAATTGCAAAAGAGATGATGTGGCATTAGATCATCAGTCAAAACCGGGTGAGATGGTATATCCAAGTAATGGTGCGGCTTGGAAGCATTTCGACATGAGGGATCTTGATTTTTCTTGTGAGATCCGGAATGTTCGTTTTGGGTTATGCACCGGTGGTTTCAACCTGAATAATTCAACTTCGAATTCGTATTCACTATAGCCCGTTTTTATTAAAATCTACAGTTTATCTCCTTGGATGGATTTGAAAGATTCATATGTTGAGATTACATTGGTCATCCCTGGTAGAAAAGAGCCCAGGTCAGAATATGGATGTGTTTCTCAGGCCGTTAATCGATGATCTAAAGATGTTGTATAGGGAGAACGTTCTTACATATGATATGTATCTTAAGAATAATTTCGAGATGAGGGCTATACTACTATGGAGTGTCATCAACTTCCCCGTATATGTAATGTTGTTGGGTTGGAGCACGCATGGAAAATTAGCCTGCCCATGGGTTGGTGGATTCCTTCCAGTTAAAAAATGGAGGGAAATCATGTTGGTTTGATTGTCATCGTAGATGGTTACCTAGAGCACACCCCTTTCGTCGTGATCGAAAAGGATTTATGGCAGGTAACAGGGTGTTAATCGGTCCACCACTTGAGGTAACTAGTGAAGAAATCTGGGAGTTCGTTCGTCACCATCCAACTGTTTATGAGGGCTGCCCGTACAGTTTAAAAATAGAAAAATTAGCAGGTTCAAAACCATTCATAATTGAGTAAAGAGAAGCATCTTTTAGGAGTTTCCATATTGGAAGATGTTTTTTATCTGACATGACCTCGACATCATGCATAATGAGAAGAGCATTTTTTAGAATATCTTTAACACCATCATGGATATGTCTAAAACTAAAGACACTGTAAAGGAGAGAAGGGATGTAGAGATTCATTGCGACTGACGGGATTTGCACATTGCCATGCCAGACAACAAAGTAGTGAAACCGAAGTCATCGTACAGTTTGAGCAAACAACAAGTAAAACAAGTTATGCATGGTTGAAGAAGTTTGAATTTTCCCGACAGGTATGCTTCGAATATAAGGAGTTGTGTGAACCTAGAAGATTCTAGTTTTTATAGCTTCAAGATTCATGATTGTCATGTGTTTATGCGACAATTTCTTCCTATTGTTGTACGAGGGATGATGCAAACTTCGATATGGGATGTAATAACGGTGTTGTGCATATTCTTTCGTAAAGGGGTGTTATACATATATGACTTGGTTCCATTGCAAACAAGTATTATTCAAACAATTTGCATGCTGGAAAAGGTCTTTCCGTCTGAATTCTTTGATTCAATGGACACCTCATAATACATTTGATACGTGAAGATATAAATGGTGGTCCGGTCCAATATAGGTGGATGTATCTGTCACGCCCCGAATTTTTTTTTTCATTCGAGTGCCGCAACGTCATTCTTAATAACTTATGTCATGAACAAAAATACGAACTTAAAATTTCAAACACACATAATATGTTTAACATAATTCTTTACATAATTGCGGAAGCGTAAAATACTTTAACGYAATCAATGCTAATTAAAATATCTAATCAAGCATGATTCAAAACATAGTTTCCTCTTTCTTCATTCAACGCGTTTACTGACAATTGATACCTGAGATATATACATGTATAGTATAAGCTAAAAGCTTAGTGAATACAATATGGTTTCATGATCACATACACACATAAACAGTGTTTTAGTGTATTTTAGTTATTATCTTGCAAGTGAGGCCTCGGCTCGTCACCTTTCTTTGCGTATGTGGTGTATTATGTAGACGAGGACTCCAAGACCTTGGAATTGCAAGCCCTCCTTTAATGTCCATCCCACCCCGTACGGTGGACGAATCTTGCCGAATCATACTAGTTGCATATCATTCGTTTGCAATACTCACTCATTAATGCAAATCTCATCGTGACATGCAACATACATCTCATGCAAGTGACAACATAAATCACATATGCATCATCGTCATTTTYCACATTAWAYACATACTTGAATATCATATTGATAATATCAAGTCATCATAATCTTTYTCATCAACATCACCTTTCATATCATGCATATACTTAAATATCATGCACATCAAATAATCAAGTTATCATCATATGCATATAAACACATCATGCAAATATCATGGATAAAATACTTTTGTAATAATAATGTATATATCCCATAAGAATCGCATAATGTACTCACCTTGAATTGTTAACGTTCGATAGGTCTTTCTCTAAAAAAGGGCAACCTACATGATAATGTATACTATTTCTAAGCATCTTAAATAATCGTAATTAAATTGATTACTATTCCTTAACAATCTTAACAGGACTTTTCTTTTTATTGATCAACCCCCGATACCATCATATCTCAAGTTCGCTCAAATATTTTCTCGAAATATTATTAATAATGTGACGTCGACATAATATTAATTGTTGCTCGTACATTTTTATAAAAATGTGCAATACACTTCACATTTTATTGAACAATAAGTATTTTAACAAAATAACTAAACTAAATAGTTTGCAACGTAAATAATGTTTTGAGGTCAAAACGTCTCTTTTAAACTTTGCAAGTAAATAAAGGTGACAACATGTCACACATATAAATAACGGTCATTCCATAAGTTTAAAGTTCAACATAATTAATACTCGAAATAATGTTTAGAATAACAATTTTCCAAGTCTAGGGGCATTTCGGYAAATCTTAAGAAGCCGAATACCAAAGGTATAACTTTAACCAATTTCCTAATTTAGAACATTCTTGGTATATTTCATAAGTCGAATATTAAAATTATGCTTAATAGTCCAATCCCAAAGCATAGGGGCATTTTGGTAATTTTATTAAGTAATACTCAAAGTATTGTTAAAATACCGATTCCCTAATTGTGAGGTCATTTTGATAATTTCATAAGGATAATAATCAAAATAAAGCTTAGATACCAATTCCCAATACATAGGGTCATTTCGGTAATTTACAAGGCAAATACTTAAAGTATTGCTAAAATACCGATTTCCATATTKTAGGGTCATTTTGGTAATTTCATAAGGATTTTATTCAAAATAGAACTTAGATACCAATCTCAAGACATAGGGTCATTTCGGTAATTTTATAAAGCAAATACGTAAAGTATCGTTAAAATACCGATTTCCACATTGTAGGGTCATTTTGGTAATTTCATAAGGATTAGATTTAAAATAACACATAGATACCAATTCCAAGACATTGGGTCATTTCGATAATTTATAAAGCAAATACGTAAAATATTGCTAAAATACCGATTTCCAAATGTAGGGTCATTTTGGAAATTTTATAAAAATAATAATAATAATGAAGCTCATAGACCAATCCCCAAGATATATGGTTATTTCGGTAAATTTTGGAAGCAAATACGCAAAGTATTGCTAAAATACCGATTTCCCACTTATAGGGTCATTTTGGTAACTAAATGAGATAAATAATCGAAACTGGGTCAGAGTTTGCATTTTTCAAAATAAAAATAAACTTGATGAGAGTCTTGTAAAGTTATTATGGAGAAAATAACTTTCTGAAACTTAAACGTTTAGTAAATATTAATATAATAAGTGCATCAGATTAACATAATTCAACGTTAGCTTACTGGTTAGCGTTCGAAGCTTCTGGGCTGAGGTCGCGGGTTCGAATCCTGCCCTCAATGCCCTTATTCCCGATTTTTTTTAAAAAGTAAACGGACGCGGACCAGACCTGCCAACCCTACCCGAACTAGGTTTCAACCCAAACAGAACCAGCAGCCATGGTTGCACGATTTTATCCTTTTTGAGCCCAAAATG